TCTATCTTATGTTGTGCAACTCTGGTATGCTTTTCTTCTTTGATGGAAGAATAATTACATGTTTCTAGAAAAGAAAAATTATCAAAGACGCAAATATGGAGAAGAAACCACAACATGCTCTTGTCAAAGAAGAAATATCTAAAAACATTCTTGGCTTTTATGGTGAAAACTTGGGTTCAAAACATCAGTCAGCCCGAGTAAGTTCTTACTGAACCGTAACCATGATCATTAATCATTTTTTTTTTCTTTTCTTTTTGTGACATACTAATTTCAACTGCATCTGGAGAAGAACACAACTTCCAGGTCAAATGCTTTTAGAGGAACATCCACAACTCTCGATAGACAGGATGCATCTGAAGATATGGAAGAGGTAGATAACTGATTTATCTGAAAACAAAGTGCAGTCTCCAACCTGAGATAACCTTTTTTCACATGTCAATAACAGTTACATCAGCATCTAATCTGAAAAATTTGTGCATTTCCTCAGGGTTAAATCAGGTACAAAGAAGCAAGTGGAAGTAAAAGAGCTATAAACCATGGAGGAAACTTCAACGATGAATGGTGAATCTTAAGAAGCTACACTCATCAACAAACCTTTTGTTTGTGTTATTTCTTCAGGGGAAAGAAGACTTTTAACTGTCCCAAAAGGACCAAACTTCCCTAGCGTTCATGTACCTAAGAGCGGTTGTACAAATAGTTTTGTAATTTGGTTTGATCTTTGAGAAGTAAACAGACCTGAGTTTGTTTTAGTGTGTATAAAAAGCACTTGCTCATCGTAAGTATTAGTGTGCTCGGAAAAGAACTTGTAGAGTTGAAACTACGGAAAACTTGAGAAATTGTAAGTTTAGGGGGAAAGAACCTCGATCTTTGTGCATCCTATCACGAATAACTCCATCAGTCAGTATAATGTTTCTGAATTGAAGATGTGAGGTTAATCACAGATAAACCACGAGGACTTTTAGAGATCTTATTATATAAAACTTGGTTTTCAAAGTTACTTATTAACATGATTGTGACATGTGGCAATTACATATCTAAGATTATGACATATGTTAAATCATAATTTTCCTTTTTTTTCTTAAATACTTAATCTAAAAGAATTTATTTTTTCTTACAATTTTCCTTCTTAAAAATACACTTAAACTAAACAAAATTAAATCATAACTTTCCTTTTTAAATACTCAAACTAAAAACGAATTTCATTTTTTCTTACAATTTTATTTATAAAAAATACTCAAACTAAACGAATTTATTTTTTTCTTAAAAATAATTATTTAATAGTAATTTTCCTTTTTAAGTTAAAAAAAGGAATTCAAAATTTTTCTTAGAAATAGTTATTAATAGCAATTTTTTCTTAAATACTTAATCTAAACGAATTTATTTTTTTCTTACAATTTTCCTTCTTAAAAATACACTTAAACTAAACAAATTTAAATCATAACTTTCCTTTTTAAATACTCAAACTAAAAACGAATTTCATTTTTTCTTACAATTTTATTTATAAAAAANAATTCAAAATTTTTCTTAGAAATAGTTATTAATAGCAATTTTTTCTTAAATACTTAATCTAAACGAATTTATTTTTTTCTTACAATTTTCCTTCTTAAAAATACACTTAAACTAAACAAATTTAAATCATAACTTTCCTTTTTAAATACTCAAACTAAAAACGAATTTCATTTTTTCTTACAATTTTATTTATAAAAAATACTCAAACTAAACGAATTTATTTTTTTCTTAAAAATAATTATTTAATAGTAATTTTCCTTTTTAAGTTAAAAAAGGAATTCAAAATTTTTCTTAGAAATAGTTATTAATAGCAATTTTTATATTGTACTAATTTTTACAAAATATTGTAAACAAAAAAAATCGATATTAATATTAGTATTTATTTTCCTAAGCATGGGTTTAAAATAATTACAAAGAAAAACAGTATTTTAAGTTTTTTATACAAAATAAAATCTTAAAAGTTCTTAAAAATATAATAGTATTTTAGATTTTACAAAGAGAATTCTAAAACCAAAATTTATTATAATTTTATTTTAGTTGTAGAATCTTATTTGCACTACCAAATATAATATGTGTTTAAAATAATTAGAAGTCCATAAATTTATTTTAGTTGTAGTATTTATTTAAAATAAAATTATATTTGAAAAGTCAAAAAAACATGGGTTAAGATAATTACAAAATCAGTAGCCATTGATTTAAAATAAAGAATTTTAAAGAAAATTCCAAACAAAAGGAGAACTGTAAAAATATTTTTATTATTTTCATATAATTAACTATTTTTTTATGGAAGCCCATTGGTCTAGGTTTGACTAAAGATTAATTTTTTTACATTATCAGGTCCATGTTTTGAGTTTGTGAGAAGGAAAATTATCAGTTTACTGGACAAAATGTTTATAAGATAATTTTAGCATTGTACAAAAAATATGTATGGTGTGAGTCCTATGTAAAACTTATGGGGATGTAGACGTGAATCCTTATAAAATGCGTACAATTGTTGACTGTAGAACGCTTATGTAATTTCTTTCACAATCTGTATTAATATAATTAATCACCGTTAACAAAACTATAATTGTTTTATATCATCGATACACATTGATATTTATCTATAAGGTTTAAAACTAATATATAGTTACAAATAAATAAATATATTGATATATACTGATCTATTATTAAAGTTTAAAAGTAATCAATTTTCTTCAGTTACAAAATTGAAGTAATAGTCGATAATGGAAATTATTTGATGATAATAATATAGATATAACTGGAACAACTATGGAAGAACTAAGATTTAAATATTAAAAAATATAATATGTGCATGCTATTTGTGTTATTATAATTTTATCAAGACTCTAAAATATATATTTAATATTAAATATCATATATTTGAAATGAAATAAAATAAAAATCTTTTTAATGATTGTTTCTTTTTCATGTCTATTAAAACATGTACTAATACAATATATTTTCATAAAATATTATTCATACAATCGAGATTTTAAAACATAATTTTTATAAAACACATATATTTTTGTGGCTACAAGAATCAAAACAGGATAAAATTTCATAAGGTATTAATAGTTTTATTACCTCTAAATTAGATGATAAAATGCTGATATATAATGTTTTCTATTACCTATACAACTAAGATTATTTGCAATTCACTTATAGATTCANACATATATTTTTGTGGCTACAAGAATCAAAACAGGATAAAATTTCATAAGGTATTAATAGTTTTATTACCTCTAAATTAGATGATAAAATGCTGATATATAATGTTTTCTATTACCTATACAACTAAGATTATTTGCAATTCACTTATAGATTCATCTATAAATTTTGTTCTAAAATAGAGAAATTCTATTACCAAAGTTTATAAATGATAAAAGCACAGAAAAATCGAGACCTTACGATGATAACACAAGCACTACTAAATTACAATTGAAACTTCATAATATGTTTGAATAAGAAGAATAAAAGCAAATTAATAAAGACAAAACTAAGAGTTTAATAAAGTATATTCCATTATCATATACTTGATTGGCTTGATTCACCTTTCAAATTCTTTGTATTTCACTATAATTTACATTTCTTTAGATTGCGTTTAATTTGAACTTTCGGGTCTCGCTTATTTTCTCTAGCTCTACGTATATGTGCCATGATTATTGAATTGAAGTTTAACCAAAACTTATGTAAAAAACCGAATTTTGATTCCTAAAATGAATTTGACACACCATATATAAAAATATTCAATTTCAATAAAAAAAAGTTTCTTATTTTTATCTTTTTTTATTAAACTTATAAAACATTAATCAAAACCCGTGCAACGCACGGGTCCATATCTAGTTATTAATAATAATGTATTGATAATACTATTGTAAAATTATTACTCTCTGAAGAAAATCAATTTGATATTTTTAAATGATTCGACATATAAATATTAATTATCTAAAATTGATGAAATTGTCATATTACTTTTCATATATATTTTATTCCCAAGTTCAGAGGTACGAACCTATAGAACAATCATATTCAATTTAAGTAAGGCCTTAACTTCATATTGTGCCAGAGTAATAAATTATTTTTTAATATTAACATAATATAAAAAAAATCAGTTAAATAAATTTCCTCAAAACAATTTATTTCACCAGGCAAAACACTAAAAAAAACATATCATTAGAAGAAATGATGATTTAGTGCTAGCAAACTTTACAATCAAAACCATTTTCTGTGAATAATCTTGGGTCTATTTTCACCAGGCACAACACTAAATAGAAAATAACATATCATTAGAAGAAATGATGATTTAGTGCAGGCAAACTTTACAACTAATACCATTTTTTGTGAATAATCATGGGTCTTTTTTCTTCATACTCAACCTTAAAAAATATGATAACATGTAGTTCAATAAGCAAATGACAAAATAAGATAGCTGGTGTTTATATAAGAATTAAATATGATAACGGGTATTTCTATATCCGAATCCAAAGTGTTATTAGTCGAATTTGAACAGGTAATTCAAAAAACTAAAAAAAAATGAAAACTGATCAGAATATCTAAATTAATAACAAGTATAAATATTTGAAACATAATTATGTACTTCATTTTTTTGAACAACACATAATTAAGTACTTTAAATATTCAATTTTGTACTTATTTTTATTCTCTTTTTAGTAGTATTGATACATGACCTGCATTTCAAATTTATTATATAACAAACCAACAAATTAAAATACAATTATTTTTTATAATTTCAAAGTCGACTAATCCGCGTATAGCGCGGACACACCATTAGTAAACAATATTATTAAAGTAATACGCACACCAGGTGAATCAACATAAAACACTTTTCAAACCGTAGCGCAATGCCAAAAAAAAAAAAAAAAAAAAAAAAAAACATTTTACTGAATCAAGCATATAGGAATGATTAGATATTCATGACAATTTTCCTCCCATACATTGACATGTTACTGACTGGGTTGGAATCATGTTTAGATCAACACCGGTGGGTTTATGATGGCATAAGCAAGCAACTCTTCATCACATAGGAAAGTAGTCATGTCTTGTTTGGGTATCCCTACCCAAGCTTCTATATCTTCACAATCCTTCGAGTCCATCAAAACCACAAATACTATGTTATCGTAGATCGCATGTGAAGCAGGTCCCATCCAGACCGGATTACCCCATCCGAAGTCAATCTCGTAGAAAGGCTTCCTACACCAGCTAGACATTGTGTACAAGTCTATGTCCGGTCTTAAGTACTCCGACATGAAACTTCCCATCGCAGTCAACAAGTTCTGACCAAGTGTGGTGGTGGTGATGGTAGTAGTGTCATTAGTACAGCCTTGAAGACTCTCTTTGATCATCTCATTAACGCATTCTTTGGTCTTTCTAAACTCGGCCACGATTTCACCGATCTCTAACTCGCTCTCTACCTCTCTCTTGAGAAAGAAAGCAGATTGTAGGTTGCCCATAGCGTTTTCTGGTAAAACATTAGTGGGGATCCTAAGCCTCAAGTCCATGGCTTGAGTCATCAGCGTTGACTTTGGAGACACTGAGTTAGACCGTGAGGATTTTTTAGCACATCTCCAAATAAGTGACATGATGGCTTCTACACGTGTAGGCACGGGTATTGACAAGGCCCAAGTTTATCAGCAACAGAAGCCCACCAATGTAAGGCCTGCTCTGCAACAACAAGACAAGAAGATGTTAGTCGCGGTTAAAGGTGGAGTTCAAAGGAGATGTTCAACGTGTACGGTAAAGCAGCCAATCCAGCTAGCTAACCGTTACACACTCTTATCCACAGCTTGTGTGTGACGACACAGCTGGCAAGAGACTAGATCCTTCTGCTATCTCTATAAATATTAAGCTCTGTATTATGTTATCCTTTATCAGAAATAAAACGTAAAAGCTTCAGTCTTTGTTCTGTTCTTTACGTTGTTCTGTTCATACCTTTATGGTATCAGAGCTATGGAGGAAAATCCTGTTCCTCACTCTGCTTCGAATCTAACAATCAATCAATGTGTAACGCTCAAGTTGAAGGATGACAACTACCTTCTTTGGAAGCTTCAGTTTGAGCAATTCCTTTCATCTCAGATGCTTCTCGGATACGTTACTGGTGCTCAACCACGTCCAGCAGAAACCATCACCGTCCGACAGGGAGATCAAGTCAACGAAGCTGCGAATCCTGAGTTTATCAAGTGGATCCAGAAAGATCAACTCATTATGGCGTGGATCTATGGTACCTTAACGGAGAATGCTCTTCGCTCTGTGTATGGTCTTCACACGTCACAGGAGGTATGGTTTTCGTTAGGTCAAAAGTATAACCGGGTTTCTGCTAGTAGGAAGTTAGCTCTGCAACGTCGTGTTCAGACAATGACCAAAGGAACCAAAACAATGTCTGCTTATGTGTCTGAAGTTAAGTTGCTATGTGACCAACTAGATTCTATAGGAGCTGCTATACCAGAGGGTGAAAAGATTTTTGGTATGTTGAATGGGCTAGGTAGAGAGTATGAGTCGGTCAGTGCTGTTATTGAGAATTCAATGGACTCGTTAGCTCCACCTAGTCTTGAAGATGTTATGGCAAAGTTGATAGCTTTTGATGAGAAACTTCAGAGTTACACTGCTGTGTCAGATGTTAACCCCCATCAAGCATTTTACACTCAGAGAGGTGGATATTCAAGTCGTGGTAGAGGTCAACATCGCGGTGGTTACAGAGGACGTGGTTACTCTACACAAGGTCGTGGTTTTCATCAGCAGTTTGGTCCAACAGGAGGACGAGGACCAAATCAGAACACTCAGCGGCCAACTTGCCAGATCTGCAACAAGTTCGGTCACTCAGCAGTTACGTGCTACAAACGCTTTGATCAACATTATCAAAGTACTGAGTCTCCACAAGCTTTGGCTGCTATGCGAGTTCAAGAAGAACAGGGATATGAGAACAATGACTGGTATCCCGACTCTGGAGCTACTCATCATGTCACGGGATCAACTCAAAACCTGCAGTCGGTTCAAGCTTACTCAGGGTCTGATGCAGTCTTGGTTGGAAACGGGGATTTCTTGCCAATAACTCATGTGGGTTCCATTGCAATACCAGCGATGTCAGGTAAACTTCCTCTCAATGATGTACTTGTATGTCCTGGTATCACCAAATCTCTGCTCTCTGTATCAAAGTTAACAGATGATTACCCGTGTGAATTCACTTTTGACTCACACACTGTTCTTGTTAAGGACAAAACAACCCATCAGCTTCTCAGCAAGGGAAGCAAGCATGAAGGTCTGTACAGATTGGAGAACCCACAGTTTCTTGCCTTTTACTCATCAAGACAGCAGAGTACAAGCGATGTGATTTGGCATAAGAGATTGGGGCATCCTCATCTACAGATACTACAGCATCTATCTGCTATCAAAGCTATCTTAGTTAATAAAGTTAATAAGACTATGTGTGAGTCATGTCAGTTAGGAAAAACTTCAAAGCTTCCTTTTCCGAATTCAGTGTTTCAGTCTCAACATCCCTTAGAGAGGATTCATTGTGATGTATGGGGTCCTGCTCCTGTTACTTCAGTTCAGGGTTTCAGATATTATATAATCTTCATTGATAATTTCTCAAGGTTCTCTTGGTTATATCCTCTCAAACTCAAGTCTGATGTGTGTGCTGTTTTTAAGTCGTTTCAAAGCTTGGTTGAGAACCAATTCAGCAGGAAGATAGGAATTTTTCAGAGTGATGGAGGTGGCGAATTTGTTAACACTCAACTTCTAAACCATTTTGCACAATGTGGCATTCGTCACTATATGTCCTGTCCGCATACACCGGAGCAAAATGGTTTAGCAGAGAGGAAGCATAGACATTTACTTGAGCTTGGTCGGTCTATGTTATTTGAATCCCATGTTCCTCAAAACCTTTGGGTAGAAGCAGTATTCACAGCCAACTTCCTCAGCAACCTGTTACCTACATCAGTACATGACAGAACAATGAGTCCCTTTGAGAAGTTAAATGGAGTAGCGCCTGTCTATACTGCGTTGAGAGTGTTTGGCTGTGCATGTTACCCGTATCTGAAACCCTATGCTCATACCAAGTTTGATCCAAAGAGTCTGCTGTGTGTTTTTCTAGGATACACTGAGAAGCACAAAGGGTACCGGTGCTTTCATCCTCCATCAGGCAGAGTTTATATCAGCCGTCATGTTCTGTTTGATGAGAACAGATTCCCATACACTGATGTCTACAGGTCTTTTCTTCCTCCAGCAGATACACCTCTTCTATCAGCCTGGTATAAAGGACACTCCATAGGCATGACTACTGAAGAACCTGAACAGAGTTCTGATGACTCTGTAGTCTTTGGTACAAGAAAGCACAGTACTGCTCATCATCCCACTACAACACCTCCGACTCCTGAGCACAACAACACTGAACCAGTTCCCGAACCTGAGGTGGTGCAGTCTCCGGAACCAGTAGTACAAGAACAAGGTCAAGCTCAAGAAGATAATGCTCATCGAATGATTACAAGAGCAAAAGATGGTATAAGAAAACCGAATCCGAGATATGTTCTTCATACCATCAAAGGAGCTTTGACAGAACCAAAGAGTATTGCTGAAGCGTTGAGTCATCAAGGTTGGACTGCAGCTATGCAAGAGGAGATTGATACATGTCAAGAAACAGGAACTTGGAGTCTTGTTCCACGTCCTACTCATACACATGTGTTAGGATGCAGATGGGTTCACAAGATTAAGTTGAATGCAGACGGTAGTGTACAAAGATTGAGATCAAGATTAGTGGCCAAAGGCAATGAGCAAGAAGAGGGGGTAGATTTTCTGGAAACATACAGTCCAGTGGTGCGCACAGCAACAGTTAGAATGGTACTACATGTGGCTACGGTTAACAGATGGGAAATTAAACAATTAGATGTCAAGAATGCTTTCTTGCATGGGGATCTATCAGAAACTGTTTACATGAGACAACCTCCAGGTTTTGTAAATCAAGAATTCCCTGATCATGTTTGCTTGCTCCGCAAGGCAATCTACGGTTTAAAACAGGCACCTAGGGCCTGGTTTGACAAGTTTAGTACTTTTCTCCTGGAGTATGGATTCATTTGCAGCGTCAAGGATCCTTCGTTATTCATATATCATCAAGGGAGTGACACAATCTTTCTCCTCCTATATGTCGATGATATGGTATTAACTGGAAATAATTCTGAAGTATTGAAGAAACTGCTTGAGTCATTGAGTGTGAAGTTCAGAATGAAAGATATGGGATCCCTGAGTTATTTTCTGGGTATACAAGTGCAGTATACACCAACAGGAGTGTTTCTAAACCAAGAAAAATATGCGGCTGGCTTGTTACATGCTGCAGCAATGAGTGATTGTGCGCCTATGCCAACACCTCTCCCTCTCCAACTGGACCGTGTTCCTCATCAGGATGAGTTCTTCAGTGATCCGACATATTTTCGAAGTTTGGCAGGTAAACTCCAGTATCTCACATTAACCAGGCCAGATCTTCAATTTGCTGTCAACCTAGTGTGTCAAAAGATGCACAAACCAACTCTGGCTGATTTCCATTTGTTGAAACGTGTACTGCGTTATACAAAAGGGACAATCAGTATGGGGTTACATCTGCGGTCTGATTCAGGTTCATCCTTAAGAGCCTTCTGTGACAGTGATTGGGCAGGTTGTCATGAAACAAGAAGATCAACTGGAGGTTTTCTCACCCTGCTAGGCTCTAATCTTATCTCCTGGTCAGCAAAACGGCAGGATTCTGTGTCTCGATCATCAACAGAAGCAGAGTACAGGTCTTTATCTGATACAGCTGCAGAAATATCATGGATATCTGATGTTCTGAAGGAGCTTGGCTCTGCAACAACAAAGCCGGCTGAAGTGTATTGTGATAATCTATCTGCAGTGCACCTTACTGCCAACCCGGTGCTTCATAAGAAGTCAAAACATTTTGCCACACATTACCATTATGCTCGTGAGCAAGTGGCAAAAGGATCCCTCATCGTTCATCATGTTCCTGCTTCAGCTCAACTAGCTGACATTTTTACTAAGTCATTGCCTCAGTCAGCTTTTTATGCTCTCAGGTCCAAACTCGGTGTGGTCTCTCTACCCACGACGAGTTTGCGAGGGGGTATTGACAAGGCCCAAGTTTATCAGCAACAGAAGCCCACCAATGTAAGGCCTGCTCTGCAACAACAAGACAAGAAGATGTTAGTCGCGGTTAAAGGTGGAGTTCAAAGGAGATGTTCAACGTGTACGGTAAAGCAGCCAATCCAGCTAGCTAACCGTTACACACTCTTATCCACAGCTCGTGTGTGACGACACAGCTGGCAAGAGACTAGATCCTTCTGCTATCTCTATAAATATTAAGCTCTGTATTATGTTATCCTTTATCAGAAATAAAACGTAAAAGCTTCAGTCTTTGTTCTGTTCTTTACGTTGTTCTGTTCATACCTTTAACGGGGACGCTTCCGCTAGCGGCTTTGAGTTTAAGCTCAGCGATCTTTGAGGATTTGAAGACGAGTCTTTTTGTTACACATTTTCCTCGAAGCTTGTAAAGGTCATCAAGTGAAGGAGATTGGTAAAAGCTATAAGGAGGAGGATAGATTGTAGTGCCTGCAAACTGAGGAACCACACTTGTTGCCGTCCCTTTTGCTGTAGCGGCCCAGGCTCGGACAAAGGTTAACAATGAGGCCGCGTCGCAGATCTGGTAAGAGATTCCAACAGTGACCGCGACTCCTGATCTCGACCCGAAGAAAGTGACCATGACTCTTAGCAACGGCCATGTCCCCGCAGATTCTCCCTGCTCGACTTCAGGGAGAAACTCTGCAAGAGAGTCTGTATTGAGCTCTCTCAAGTAATCTGAGAGGAGGAGATCGGTGCGTGCCTTGGTGAAAATGACTCCTTCGTCCTTGCAGCATACGGAGATGCCTTCTATTCGTCCAGCTAAAGGAGAGAGACGAGAAAGAGTTTCGGATAGAGAGGTTTTAAGTCTCCGGGAAATGATCTCCGGCGACTCTCCGGTGGTGGATTTGAAGAAGAAGGTAGTTGCCACGTAGATTGCTGGACAGCTGAGATCGAACAAGGAAAGCTGGAGGCGTTCATCATGAGGTGCGGCTGAAGAAGGCTTGATCACTACTCTTCCGGTCACTTCTAGCTTCAGTTCCATTTGGCTACCTTAAAGTTAACTTTTAGTTGAAAAAGATACGAATACTTGAGCTTTAAGGCCTGAGTGGAAAAAATTTGGTCCTTCCTCTATGCTATTCACGAGGATAGTAAATCTCTTTTTCAAAACTTTTATTTTTGTATATTGCAGTTTCATTTGCTAATTTCCACATTCTTTTAGGATTTGTGCCTAATTCACTGTTTTTATTATATAATTTACTAGCGGCCCATAAACATTAAGATAAATTTCAAAAGATTTATACTATTCTAATCATATAAAAATTTTCTACATATCTGAATAATATTTTTTTTTAATTATTGGATCTAAACGTATAAATCTATTATTGTTGGATGCAAACATAGAAATTCTACCATCATTGTAAGCAGTATAAAATTCTACCATCATTATAAGTAAACACGTAACTCTCTATCATAAAGTCTTATCATAAATTTGATAAATGATATGTCTACCAATATAAATCTATCTTCATAGTAGCCAATTTATCAGGTGTAGCTTATGAATGAACTCAAAAGATAGAAAAATTTTACCACCGAAAGAAATAAATATATCAATTTATTATAAATATGTCATCATCATATACTAACCAACATCTATATATCACAAGTTTATTATATCATCAAATAGGAAAATTGTCATTTAAATCACGAACTTTCAAATTTGGTTGAAAAAAGTATGAATTTTCCCTTAGTCTATTTAAGGCACCAACTTAGTTTGAATAACCATTTTTGTTAGGGTCAAAATCGGTACGACGGAATCAATAGCCAAAATTCTCCGCAAACACATAAACGCAACCGTTTTGCAAATCTCGAGAATCATTTTATAAAACTCGAGAGATCAAAGCTTGAAGGTCGTTTTATAAAACTCGAGAGATCGTTTTATAAAACTCAGAGGTCGTTTTATAAAACTAGAGATATCATTTTATAAAACTCGAAGATCGTTTTATAAAACTCGAAGATCGTTTTATAAAACTCGAAGATAGTTTTATAAAACTCGAGGATCGTTTTATAAAACTCGAGAGATCGATTTATAAAACTCGAGAGATCGTTTTATAAAACTCGAAGATCGTTTTATAAAACTCGAAGATCATTTTATAAAACTCGAAGATCATTTTATAAAACTCGAAGATAGTTTTATAAAACTCGAGGATCGTTTTATAAAACTCGAGAATCATTTTATAAAACTCGAGAAATCGTTTTACAAAACCGCGAAAAACCGAAACCGCCGCAGAACGCGAACTAGTCGCAACCAGTTCGCCTGCTGGCGAACTAAGCCAAGCTGGCTTAGTTCGTCAGCAGGCGAACTAGACGGTCCCGACTAGTTCGCCAGCAGGCGAACTAGACTCCCTCGACTAGTTCGCCTGCTGGCGAACTAAGCCAAGCTGGCTTAGTTCGTCAGCAGGCGAACTAGAGACCTCCCGGAGCCTCGATTTCCCGCATCCCCGATTCGAACTTACGACACGGTCGCTTTCTGAACCACGGCCGAAATGTCTCCCGTTTCGTCTCGATCCGACTTACCGTTCGAGTTTTACGATAAAAACCGTAAAACTTTGTTTTCTCGGAAAGAACTCGAGGAAATCGTATAAAACGGCAACGGTTAAACGAAACACCGAACAATGCCTAAACGATACGATTTATTCGAGATTTCTCGTTGAAATCATAAAAAACGCGCTTTTAATAAAAAACACCGAGTAAGTCGTAAAAAACGCGTTTTTAATAAAAAGTCGAGTAAATCGTAAAACTTTGCGATTAACTCGAGAAATTTATTAAAAACGACGTCAGATCAGGAAACGATCCCGTAAAAGTCGGAAAACGGTTTTTATCGCAAAACGGCCCGGAAGGACCTAAAACGCGATAAAACCCACCTCGCGACTTCAACGGAATCA